GTAGTGAAAAGTAGCCAGTAATGATTCTATAAGGAAACCCATACAGAATTAGTTTTTAACAATGAGTGATGTATCCCTTAGGGTACATGCAATGTCTAGGAGGATTTTGGGTTGTCACAAATGGAAGCTTTATATGTAGACAGTAGAGGCAAGGGATGTGTTCAACATACTACAATGCACATGATTCCTCCACTGTACACGTGATCAAGGATATTTGATCCATAATGTCAGTAGTGCCAAGGCTAAGTAGTCGTTAGTGTTCCTGCTATAGAACTCTTTCCTGTCTGAGATATATGTATAGTAAGCCAAACAACTAATTTTTAATGAACACATACTATGTACCTGCCATTGGAGCATTAAAGTCAATCTATCTCTTTATATATATGTGTGACCCTACACTAAGTGATCCTACACTAAGATCTTGAGTAGAGGAGACAGATTTAAAAAAAAAATTACAAGCTGCTGAGCTGAGTGTTGTGTTAGTGTGTTGGAATAACTGACAATACTTGTACAAAAGAGTTATCTATGAAGCCGAATTCTAACAGAACAAGAATTAGTCACAGGGCCAGCCTAGATTTCAAGGGATGGAAAAGCGATGTCACCTTTGAATGGGAAGCATGGCAAAGAGTTAATGGTTTTCTTTAATGTACCATAAGTACTTCACTACAGCACATAGACTGGAGCTATTTTACCTTTCCTGAGCAATAGGTGAACCTTGGTATTTACTATTCCCATTATTTGGAAAATTCTTCCCTGGGATAGGTAAAAATGACATCCATGTCAATTCTAGTATCAACTTATGTATCAGCTTTATAGAGATACATGTTTCTTTTATCCTGTATGAAGCAGCATCTGTATCACTACCTTATTTCCAATTCTTTCTCTGGGTTTATTTTTCTTCATAGTACATTTTACCATTTATTGTCTCCATTAGAGCAGAGAATTTGCTTTGTTCAGTGCTATATACTTAGCATTTCCTGCAACATTTGGCACATATTAGATGTTGCATACATGCATACATGAAAAACCAACTCCTTTTACCTCAAGGATTTTGATAATCACTTTTAGGATATCATACATTTAAAGAAAATATACTGTTTATTCCAAAATTATCTTAGCCACACTATTCCTGTATTTAACATTGTCATCTACTATGTGTTCCCGTGACATTGGTACAACAGTTGCCCATCACATATACTTCCTCTATTAGATATCTCAGGGTATGTGTTCTCTTGGTAAACAGGGACAGTGTCACCATCTTGACCCTTTTTTGTAGGGGTATGTCCCTAACTGGAACTTAAGAGTATAAGGAGATTATCTTCTATTGCTTTTGTATTCTGCTTTTCAATAAACAGGCATTATAGTACTGTGTATGTGACTTCAGAAATGTGTAATGATTATATTAGAAGACAGGCTCTGTACAATCTTGTTTCCCAAGATAATTTTTAATTTTATTTTTTTTAAATATTAAGGATACTTATTGATTACTGAAAGCAATTAACCTTCTAATGGTGGTTGCCTTACAGTAATTTTCTTATCAAATTACTACCTTCACTTTATTTTGGGTGGCAATCTCAGATTTAAAAGAGTTCTTGATTCAATATCAGACTATATTATGTGAGTGAGTAAATTTCTGGAGACCTAGGCTATTTTTTTTTTAAACTTTAAAATTTCAGACTTCCTTTAAATAATCATGAATTATGAAGATAGTACAGAGAGTTCCTGTATCTCCCCATGTATTCATTTTTCCTTATTGTTAACATCATGTATGTAGATGGTACATTTGTCACAAGAAATAAATCATTATGATTTATGTACTGAAGTCCATACTTTTATTCTTGGATGATCCTTTAATAAAGATGTCAGGATGAAGTTTGATTACTATTTAAATCTCTTTTATTTTTGTCTGGAAATACTACTACTATTTGGCTTGTTTTTCAATCCTAAAATTGTTGGACAGAAATGGTCAGCTCTACTATAGTTAATTTGTACTTCTTGTACTGAATTAGAACTTAGTTTAGGATGCAATAGCAATAAGAAGTCAATGGCTTAGAGGCTCATTTCTATAATTCACATTGGTATAAATAGTATAATTCTTTTCCCCCAGGACTCCTCAATTTAAGATTAAATTTTATACTGGAACATAGAAGTGATATGGTTATTTTGCTATTTCAGTGGAACCTTTTAATCAGCTTTAATGCAGTCTTGGGTAAAGTAAGAACTAATCCTATCTCTTTCAGGGCTTTTTTAGTTTGCCAACTTCAAAGCAGGAATAGAAGCAGTGAAGCAGCACTGTTTATTATAGCTTGTTTTTATTACATTTTCTTCATTAATTCTCTTCCAGTCTTTTTTTAAAAACATTATTTGAGCCATAAAATAAAAATTGTACTCATGAAATTTCAAAAATTATTTTAGTGAAACTCTGGAAACATCCCAAACCTCAAAAAATATTGTAACTAGGTCAGTAGAAATACCCACCTTTAATTGGTTTAATTAGAAATGAAAAATTATAGGAGTAACTCAATTTGAAGTGTAGATTTAAATAAGAATTAAATTGGGATTAATAACATTTAAGGGTGTGAATTTAAGTAAGATGCATTTAATTATAGCTTATAATTTTTTCTTGAAAAGATTTTAATAGTATTGAGGAAGTCAAAGTGTTAGAATATGTCAATACAGGAGGAAAATTGCCATGAAATATAATATTTGACACAGAAATCACTTTGGAGCTGTATTCCGCAAATGGCACATCTAAGAATGTGCTAAGAATATACCAGATGTTAATAGATGTCTTGGGTAGAGGCTGTGCCCAAGTAAGTGTGAGAATTATTAAGTTAAATAGATTGAGTAGTTGACTACAAGGCATCCCCAATTCCATATGTTCACAATATTTTCCCAATGTGCACTAAGAAGGTATTATGTCCAACCAATCCTTTGCTCATTACTTCCCTTTTGTTGAGTAAAGTGTGATTTTAAAGCAAAATTGCATGTCAGAAATACATAGAAGTTTTTTAAAGAAGATTGACTCCTGGGGTCTAACTTTGGAAATTCCGTTTTGAGTGGAAATGTCATGTGCTCAGATTCTGTATTTATTAAAATGGCCAGGTGATTCTACTGCAGCCAGTGTTAGTCCTCCAGTTAGTACTTTGGAGCTGTTGGACCTAAAATTGTACCTTTCCTAAGATGGGTGATTGGATATGTGGTATATAGTTCATTTGTGGTCATAAAACATATGGGCTAACAGTCCCGTACAGGAGAAAACTGCAGTACTGGCTAATGGAGACTGAACTCCATTGATGTGCTGGCTTACCCTAATGTGAAAAAAGTACCAGTTTTTGAGGAAAAACAATAATCTTAAGGGACTTTTCATTACAGTCTTAAGGAAACATCACATATAAGTTTGCTGTTTGATTTTAGTTTTGAATGGTAGCTTTTTATGGTATGGTATTTTATATACATTTAAAAAGAAATACTAGTTTTTAATTTATTCTTGGTATGTATGGTATTTTATGTACATTTAAAAAGAAATACTAGTTTTTAATTTATTCTTGGTGCTATTTAAGAATATATTCTCTCCCATTCTCCTTGTGATAATAGGTAGATATTTAACTTACAAAGCAAATAGCCAAGATTCTCAATTATGCTTTCATTTATGTGAGCACTGGTAATAAGTTTTTTTCTTTTTTACCAAGAATTTTATTTGATTATGTTTGTGCATAGTTTTGAGAGCATCAACAGTTATATAACTTCTCTTGGTAGACATACAGCATTTTTTAGGTGGTATGCAAATCAGTTTACAGACACCATAAACTATAAGAGAACACTTAATTTTTGGTATTCTTGTCTTTACTTGGGGTGATTTTTGTCTTACAAATATATTTAACATTTCCTTTATAGGACTCATATTTATTCAATTTATTAGGAACTTGGGAAATTTGATAATAACTTTTTTATAAGAACTATAGTTAACACTTTCTTCCTGGTAAAACAATACAATATTCTTGGATTTTCTCTTTTGTAATCTACAAATATAATTACTACTACCTTGAGAGACAACTAGTCTTAACTTCATACCAGTAATATTATATAATACATTAGACTTATTCATTAAATGTCAAAAACATCTAATAATGTGTTAAAATTATTCTACAAGGACTTGCTAATGCAGTAGACAAGAAACAAAAGATTATGGAAACTGGATATAAAATTTTCATTACTAAGTATGCAAGGTTGTATACTTAGAAAACCTAAGAGAAGTTAAATAAAATTAATATGTTTAATAAACTACCCAAAACCAGCATTTCTTTTATAAATAAATAGGGTTTCTTACATGCAGTGTTGTTATTTCTACATATTAATTGGCTGGTGAAATAACAAATAGAAAAAAGTAAATTTGAATTTTCATGTTAAAGAATCAGGAGACAGAAAGTTCCTCCATAAAAACTCAGGGAAGAAAGAGTTGTTAGGAGGACTTTACCACTATGGTAAGTGACAGCAGTTGTGATTCCTATGGATTCTTCAGATGTTCTAGAACCACTGGTGTCCTTTGAAAGAAATGACACTGTGGTTGCTGACGGAATGCAATATGAGAGCCAAGGCATTTATTTGAGTTTGTTTGTAATGAAAGAGAGAGGAAAGACAGATCGAGAATTTTGTTCTGTTTTGTCATTTTGTTTATTTTCAGAATAGCAGAATATTTTCCTTGTCTCCCATGGAAACTCCTAAAAGACTATAGTGCACCATCCTGTCTTAAAGGTGTGGCACTCATTTGGCTTTATGTTTAATTCATGAGTGTGAATGAAGATTTTAAAACAGTTGGTAGTAGACAAGATGCAGCATTAATTTCAGTGGGCTCTCACCTGTTAAATTAGGCCACTCTAGCTTTGAGACATGCTTTCTCTGTGCCAACAAAGGCAATCATGCTGCTTCTCCTTTCACTGTCTTTGGCCTCACGAGTTTTGCCATGTCCGTTCACCACTTCCTCTTGGGCTTTTTTACAGCTATGAAATCTCCGTAATCGAACGTCATGATGCTTCTCCTGTAGGGGGTGTGATGAGGAGCAGAGTTTGGCTTTGGAGTGCTCGGAACCAGAGAAATTGCCGAGGACTCGGAGCTCAGCCCTGACCAATAGAGAGCCCACAACACGATGAACAAATTGAACTTCCATAACAACAGAGTCATGCAAGACCGTCGGAGTGTGTGTATTTTCCTGCCCAATGATGAATCTCTGAACATCATCATAAATGTGAGTATATACCACTCTTAGAAATGTTTCAATAGAGTGTACCCACCAGTGACCATAGTCAGGTGTGGTGAAGGGTGAAATTATTGAAGTGAGATCATTAATAATGTAGCAGAATTAGTATTAACTTTGAAGTATGACTTAAATGCATCTATCTCAAATTTTCTCTAACCTGAAGTAAAATTATAGACTTTTGGTAACCATATTAAAGAAAAATAACTGCTTTATTATTTTTACACTTTTTATTGGTATCTAAATTTTGGTTATGAATATGAATTTGCTTTTTAAATGCTTTTGAGTTGTCATCTGTACACATGGTAATTTTTTAACGTGTGCCTTGATTTTTAAATTTTTTTTTAAATTTTTTTTAAAGATTTATTTTTTGTTTATGCATACAAGAGCTGGGGTATAAGCCAGAGGTGTGGGGAGGTGAGAGGATTCACCGAAGACAGGGGGAGTTGAGCAGGCAAATCTACTGAAATACATTGCAGAGGGGAACAGCGGAAGAGACTGGAGAGGTCTGCTGAGCCATGTGGGTCACCTGCCTGGCTGGTATCAAACATGTCTAGTAACTGGCTCTAGTGCTGTGCTATGCTACTAGGGAGTCTCTTGATTGTTGTTTTAACAGTAACCCACATCTAATTTCAAGTATAGTCTTTTCATGTGCACACTAGGCTGTAGCTTACGGTTCATGAACCAGTTAACTCCTGGTTAAAATGAACATTGAGGAATGTGATACTATTTTTCTTTTAATAATTGAGTTATAATTTACATACAGCAAAACATAGAACTCTTTTTTTTTTTTAAAGATTTATTATTTATTTGTACAGAACTGGGGTACAGGCCATAAATGCGGAGGGTGAGAGGAGTCACCAGAGACAGAGCGGGGAGCAGAACAGGCAGATCGACGAAATACACTGCTGAGGGGAGCAGCGGGCGGGTCAGGGGAGGTCTGCCTCGCCATGTGGTCACCTCCGGGGCAGGCGGGGATCGAACTCATGCGGAAGTGGCTTTAGTTTCTTAGTGCTGTGCTTTAACCCGCTGCGCCACCAGGGAGGGCCAAAACATAGAACTCTTAATCATGCAGCTCATTAAGTTTTTGCAAGTGTGTAAAGCCATGTGATTATTTAAAATGTGCTATATTTTCAGCACCCTAAAAAGATCTTTTGTGACCCTTTCTGGTCATTAAACTTCACTCAAAGGGTAATAACTGTTCCCAACTCTATTGCTATAAAGTTTCGTTTGTTTCCCAGCTTTCTGCACTGAAAATTATGTGGCATATTCTGTATGCACCTGACTTCTGGGTGCACCTATACTTCTTAAACTCATCCATGCTATTCCATGTGACAGTAATTCTTTTTCATTATGTGTAATAGTTCACTATATGAATATGCCCTATTTGCTTGTTCATCACCTATTGTTGTTTCATCACCTATTGTTGATGAATATTGGTTGTTTTGATTATGTACTATTATGAATAAAAGAGCATAAAATGCGGTTGTGAACATTTTATGTTTATACCTCTTTGTTTACATTTCTGCAGTCATACTCGGGCTTGGAATTATACATAAGATACATGTTTATATCATATATTCATATATTGACACACACATATATATTAACTTTGGTATAGATAACCCAACAATTTCCTGGTAATACTATGTCTAACATTTTTCAACCCCTTCCTGCTATTGGCTTCCCTGTTCCTTTTAAACTGATTGGATTCTGATAGAATTGGGGGAAAATTTTTTCTTAGTTCATGCCTTGAAATAGTTCTGTTTGCTATATGCCACTGTATTTCAAACTCAATTGCTGTATAAATGAATCTAAGTGTTAACATTAAATATATATGACATTTAAACAGCTTCCTTAAAAAGTTTAGATAGAAAGAGGTTCTGCTTATTACCATGATTACTTTAGTTTCACTCTGATAATAACTGTAGTGCCTTAATGTAACCTCATGTTTGCTCAGAGGGGTGGTCTAAACATCAAACTTGTCTATTGGATGACTGCAGTCATCTGGCAGAATTTCTATAGATCAGCTACAGTCCTACACAGGGTGCCTGAAATTGTTCTGAATATATGAAATGTTGGATTGTTATTTTTGGAGCATTTGTTTTTTAAAACTAATAAAAATTAACAATATCCTGCTCCTTTTCTGTGATAAAATATTAAAATGTAATTCTGCTTATATATGTGAATAAATTGAGTTCTTTTGTACATTTATATAAAAATATATCCACTAAATTTTGAAACTAGCTAATATCCAGGGCATATAGCAGAGGCACTTAAACTTCTCTCAGTTCCACTCTGTCTTTTTACTACTTGACGTATGAATAGGGGTGTGTGTGTGTGTGTGTGTGTGTGTGTGTGTACACGGACACACATAGAGGATATGGAACAAATTATAACTGACCTCATACCCATGAGAGGAATGCTAAGCTGACTATTGAAGGGTACTAAGAGTTAACGACAATTTTTGAAGAAATTAATTTGTATAAAAATCTCAGGTGGTAAAGATAATTAGGGCAAACAGACTGTAGAAATGTGGTTTTAAAATCTTTTAAAATTATTTGAGGAACTTACTAATATTCAAATTGTGGTACTCCTCTTCTTGGCGGTGCCTATGTGTATGTGAAGCTTGGAATCTACAGTTTACAAGATCTGCCTCCGCAGGTGTTATGAACACTAAAGTCAAACCAGAAAGCAGAAAGCGGTTTACCGGTACCACTTAGTCTCTTTCACTCGCAGAACACTATCCACAGATTGTGTTTTTGGCATAGTTATCAGTGACCTGACCCTTAGAATAGTGCCTGATACATAGTAAGTACAGAGTAAGTACTGGTCATTCATAATAATAATTAATAATAATATAATTACCATCATCTTTATAAGTAGTAATAATTATCATCATCATTGTTGAGAAATGTTATAATAATTTTCATAATTTAATTCTACTCTTGACTTGTTTTATGACCTTTGAACAAGTTGCTTAATCTCACTTAGTTTCTACATTTGTAAAAGCAATCAATTAAAAAAAAAAGCAACTCACCACAGTACCTAGCTCATAATAGGCATTCAGTTTCTCCCTGTCTTCCCTTTATAAAGAATAATTGAAGGGTAGACATGACTGTCTTAATGTCTTAAAATACACACACCTAAATTTAAATCCAGTGACTTAAATGACTTCTGGAATTTTTATTAAGCCTCCCTCAGCCTCAACATCTTCACCTATAAAATAGGAATAATACCCATGTGATAAGGTGTTGTGAGAATGAAGGGTTAACATGTAACATAATTCCTGACATAGAGAATAGCTGCTATTATTTTAACTTCTAGCCAGAGATTGATTTTACTTTTCATTTTTTGCAAAATTAGTGCATTAATCCTTACAGGATGGTCAAGACAGTAAACTGTATAGCTGTAAATCATCATAATCAAAGAGGATTTTAGCTTCACCTGGCCTAAGTAGAAATCATTTTACAAAACTTGGACAAGTTAGATTTTCTTATTTCAGTTTCCGTATCTATAAAGTATGGAGAATCTTACTCTCTTCACAAAAACACTTGATGATTGAGGATTTAAAAAGATAAGTGCCACAATTATATTGTATAAATTATACATAATATAGTATGTATGGTATAGCATACACTGCAGTGCCTGGAGCCCAGGAACTGTCAGTAAGTGAGCCCTCACCAGAGCAGCACTTATTATGATTTCTTTGAACTGTTTGTGTTTTTCATTGGAAAATAAAATTCAAATGAAGAGTCTGAACTCCATTAAGGTCTATAAAATATTCTGGTTCCAGGTAGACTAACTTGCCAAGTCTAGACTCCTTATTAGCAAGTGATTGGACCAAAGGAAAGAAGGCATATAGATTTAGTATTGCAGCCCTCACTGCCAGTAAACCAGTTCACAGCTGCCAGAGGTCTTTTTCTACAAAGTAGTGTCTTTGTATTAAGGAAACAGCAGTTAATGTTTATAGAATTGTGGTATAACAAATTAACTATAGCAAAAACTATTTCATTAATGGTCTTTTTTCCAACTTTTTTTTTTTTTAATTAAACAAGATTTGTTCCATGACAGGTGTAGTTGGTAAACTTAGCTTTCTGCATGTAGAGTAATTTAACATTTTGGTCATTCTAAAGTTTCCATAAGTAGAACTTAATAGGGGGCTGTTTGAAGCTATTTTTGCCATCAGATACTAAATACTAAACATGAAAACTTGGAAAATTTTGGGAATAATATGAATATAAGAACCTCAAAGTTTTTGAGTCATATAAATTGTGGAAAAGAGCTTATACCTCTTAACTAACACTAAAATAAATAATTCTTTTTTTTCTAGAGCATGTTTTAAATATTCTTGCTCAGTAATAAACCACTGACATTTAGGTTCAAATGCTGTTTTTATTAAAATGTTTCACATGCAGTATATTTTTTCAATGATGTCTTAATTCCTTTTCTTAACACATCATAGTATGTACCATTTTTTAAATTCTCATTTCTCCTAAAGATTAAAGGACTTGAAAATTTTCATAATCAGCTAAAATGTGGCCTTAAAGACTTATAATTTGCAAATACAAAAAACTCAGGCTTGTTTACATAGTAGGTAAGACTTGAGAGCCACAGCCTTATTTAATTACAGTTTTTAAAGAACACTGACTTACTTGATAGTTCTAAAGAGTTTTATTGGTTGACTCCAAATACATGATTTAAACTAGTGGAATGATAATAATTATATGGGATGTAGGTAGGAAATATGCAGCATTATTTGAACAATAGTTACACAAAGTTACAACATGGTTTAATTTGGTTTGTAGTTTGAAATTTTTTTGTTGATTATCATATTTTAACACAAGGTATTTAAAAAAGATTTATTTATGCATACAGAACTGGGGTACAAGTCAGAGGTTTAGGGGCTGTTAGAGGATTCACCAGAGACAGAGTGGGGAGCAGAATAGGCAGATCAACAAAGAACACTGCTCAGGGGAGTAGCGGGCGGGTCAGGAGAGGTCTGCTGCACCATGTAGGTCACCTCCAGGGCGGAGATGGAACTCATGCTGAAGTGGCCTCAGCTTCTTAGTCCTGATTTTAATCTGCTGCGCCACCAGAGAGGGCCCCCAAAGTCTTTTTATGTTACATTTTTAAATACAGTCAAAGCTAAGCATTAACTTTTTGGAAATAAAATCATGATAAAGTTGATAGGACATTTTAAATCTCAAACTTGTATTATATATTTTAATTTTTTATGACACTTGATTTTTTGGTTAATCATTCTGATTCGTATTTGTAGATTGGGAATACAAGTATAGGAATTCAAAATCCAAAGTCTTTGGTTACGAAAGAGTAATGATTCTCCACTGGCAAATATTAGGTTTGCATTTGTGTATTCTCCCTAAGTTCCTAAATGGCATATTTTAAAATGATTTGCTCAAAAGAATTGTAAGCATAAAACAGGGCAGTCAAGTCTTCTGGCCTACTCATCTTGGTGTTTACTGAGTGCCAATTAACATATCCTGAATATAGAGTAAGACACTATCGAGACCTCACTGCATTTCAGGTGCTTATGATCAGCTGAATTGGTGCTACTCTGGCCATAAATATCTTTGCTCTTTTTGGTGACAGAGGTGCTTCAAGTTAGTTGTCATTTAATAATAGATGTGGTAAAAATATTAAGCCTACTTTTCTTACTTTAGTTGTAATGATCACCATTCTTAATGGTTTTGTTTTCTCAAAGGCATCTCTGCATATTTTCTATTTTCTGAAACTGAGTTACATATATTCTAAAGTATTAAAAAGTCATTAATTCAGTTACCTAATTTAAACTTTATAATAAATTAAAACTATAAGTGGCATCATTATTGAATAAAGAATTCACAAGTTAATCATACAAATGAGAGAATTGTCACATGTAATGTGTAAAGCTAAAATGGTAAGTTTCTCATGTTGCACCTATATTAATATACACATGTAAAAATATTTTAATACACAGATAAGCAAAGTTATGACTTGATGCTTTTGCCACTACTAGCTACCTATTTTTTTTTTTAAAAAAAGATTTATTTATTTATACATACAAGAACTGGTGTGTAGGCCAGAAGTTCAAGGGGTGAGCAGAACAGGCAGCTGTACTGAAATACATTGCTGAGGGAAGCAGCAGGTGAGATAGGAGGGGTCTGCTATGTCATGTGGGTCAGCTTCCTGACAGGATGTGGATTGAACTCGTACTACAGTGTCTGTTGATAGCTTGATAGTGCTGTCTTTAACCCACCAGGGAGGCCCTTAACTGCCTAATTTAAACTCTGAGTTTTTTTTCCATTTTTATAAAATAAAATTGATCTGGGAGATCTCATACGTCAATCCCAACTTTAATAAGCTTTAGTGATTCTGAATCAAACATGGCAGACTCAACCAAATTGCTGTCTCCCAAAACATTTCATTAAACATTTGAGAAATTATAAAACTGTATCTTTTAAAGACTGTTCTATCTTAAATGTGTGACTTTTTAGAATAACTTTATCCCCAGAGTTGCAAAATGGTTTATACTAGGACTCAGAACGTGTGTGGATACTTGAAAGATAAAATACTATAAAGGCGATTGACAGTGATTAAAATAAAAGCTAGGTGACTGCTCATTGTTTATTCAATGAATATTTTGCTTAGACCATTAAAGGAAGAATTTTTCATATGAAGATACTAATTCATATGAAATTCATCTAATATGTTTTGAAATAATCATTTTCCACCATGGTTTTAAAGGAAGACCTATCCATTTGAGAGTTAAGATTGCATTGGTACTTTATTACCACATTGTAAAAATTTGTATTCTGATAATCATTACTGAAACACAGCCACAGATTAAAATGATTTCCATAAACTAGCAGTTGTTTTGCTAATATCAGTTTGTTCTTTCAAGCTCACATATATAATACATTAAGTGACCTGATTATATGGCTCATTTGGTTGAATTATTACTTTAAATGTGCTTTGATTCCCCCACAGGTTAAAATTCTATGTCACCAGCTGCTGGTCCAGGTGTGTGACCTACTCAGGCTAAAGGATTGTCACCTCTTTGGACTAAGTGTTATACAGAGTAAGTCTTAGTACCATCTCTGATGGATTTAATCATCTGTCACTGAGGAAATGACATTTTATAGTATGACTTAAATTGAGTATATGTCTTAAAATTATGATTGTTAAAATATCCATTAACTGTTTTTTTTAATTTAATTTAATACTCATTTCAAAATACTTACTGTTGTGTATTTCTTACAACATTAAGAATTTTAGATTGGGTACTATTAAAGATTGATTTAAAGATTGGTTCCTCTTTATGAGTCTGGATTCTGTATATCTGCTTCTTTATGTTTTAATATACCAAGTTGTGTTTTTGTCTGTGCACTCAGGGAACAGCTAAAGCTAGTAGGAGAATATCTAGGGTGTTTTTGTAATTTAACTATTTTGTAATTCTTTACATTAAAAAAGAATTTGGACATAACAAAACTGGCTTTCTTTTATGGAAGTTCTCTTGCTATTGTCTGTGTGATATAAAACAAAGTGGTCTATTAATGTACACATATTTTGTTTTTTCCTCCTTAACCCTTCTCTTTTGCCATCAGACCATGTGACTTGAAGACATGGGCTCAGTCTCTTCTGTATACTTTATTCAGAGATTTCCAAGTAATGAGTCATATAAGCTCTCTACTCTCCCCCTTCTCCCTTCCCTTAACACCTTAGAATTAAGTTGCCAGGATTATAACTTGATAGTCATTTCTTTCTTTTGATAGCTTTCTTATTTAAAATCACATTTTAAAATGTCTCTAATCTTTTAGATTCTTAAGCCCTCTCATGTTTGTTTAGTGTTTCAAAGAGGATTTTTATGTATGAAATATTTTTATATTTTATATTTATATCTGAATTATTTTCTACTACTGTAATTGGTTTAAATTTGATGGCACGTAAGATCTTGATTCACACCATAAAGTGCTTAGCTATTCCAGATTGGAAAGTGTAGCATGATCATTGACAAACACAGCCCTTCTCCTCCATAATGTGAACTGTTTTCAGTTGTCTTTTTAGGAGAGGCCAGAGAGCATGGAGCAGGGAATATATCAGGAACTGATGAATCAGCCATTTGTTCTTCACTTTCTTCCTGTGGTACTTACAGCAATAAAAACACAAATGTTTGGCTCCATCTTTGTGTTACTATCTACGTTAGTCATTCTTTCAGGAAATAGATTGGAAGAAGGTGCCCTATTCAGTCTAAATAACATTTCCCCCCCAAAATCTTACTATAGCTTCAGCCTCACTATAAATCTCTATTGTTCAATAAGTCAGTCTAATGAAACCAGTTTACTCTTTTTTAGGTTTCAAAGTTAGATCTATAAAGATGTCCTTTTAAAAAGAAAGACTAGATCATAATGTGGCGAAAGAACATTGGAGCAGGAATTAGATGAACTAGTTCTGATTCTGGTTCTTCCACTAGCTAGCTGTGTGGCTTTAAACATATCACTTTCCTCAATTTCAGTTTTCTCATACGTCATATTAAAATTACTGTTCCACCTGCTTTGCAGGTTTGATGTGTGCTTGAGAATCCTTAAAATGTAACGCTCTGGTCAAACCATCAAATGGTAGAGACACAGCAACAGTTAAAAAGACAGCATGTGATCTTATGGTAAAGAGTCGCAGTTCTGTTATTATGTTACTTTTTCAGACAGAAACTCAAGCCAAATACAAATCAGATTTAACAGGAAGGTTGTCTGGTCTTGTCCATTTCATGTTTAATCAGTAACATGTGAGAGTTGGGAGTTGGTTTTTAGTTGATCTGATAAGTGGATTTATAAGTAGCATCTTCTCTTGTCTCTGGGATCACTTCCTTGTTCCTTTCATTCAAGTTGGTTGATTTACAATGCCATTTATGGTAGCTTTCCCCTGCCTGTTATCTTATGGTACTTTTCCAGTCAAACCCCTGCCTTCAGTCTGGAGTGACAATATGAGAAAATGTGTTATCCAAGGTTTTTTTGTAAAAATGACATTCAAATCTCTGAATTAGATAGGAATGCTGAAGTTTTTTTTCTGAAGTAGATCTGTCTTTTAAAAATAACTCTTAGGAAATAAGAAAATTGTACTTTATATTGTCTTGTTCAGGTCATTTTATTTTTTTACGTGGGTTTTTACCTTTTGCTCATCTTAAGGTCGTTACCTTGAAGGAAGTATACAACATCAGTCTCAAAGGCATTGCAAAGTAGTTGTTTACCATTTTGCTTTATGGTTTATGTGAGAACACGAAGTCATGTCAGCTTATTCTTCGCAAAGCAGGGGTCAGCCTCACTGTGAAATGGGCTAATGTCATCAGTTTTCTTGTGTTTTAAGGGGCAAGGAAGATAATGTTTCTGTCCTGTTTTGTTACATTGTACCACTGAAAGAATCCACTATAAGCCTAGTAAAAGCAAGCTTTTCTAAGACCAACCCATGCCAACTGTGTTGGAAGTTCAGACTATGTGTGTAATGACACTAGAAACTAAGAAAAAAATAGGGAGTTGAAAATGAAATGTCTTCTAAATGTCACTATTCTAATATACATGTTTCACTTTCCAAAAGCAAAATAATTCATAAGGAACCTCATGTATGTCTACTCCACAGGATCTTTTATCTTTTTGGTATCTTGTTGAGTTCCCAGTAGTTTGCAAACTTGGTATATTTCCAAGTTTTAAGGCTTTTTAAAAGGTTGTTTCTTTGTATATCGTCTTTCATTCAAATCTGTTGTTTATTATTATGTATCCTTTTTTGTGTGTGCAGATAATGAACATGTGTATATGGAGTTGTCACAAAAGCTTTATAAGTATTGTCCAAAGGAATGGAAGAAAGAGGCCAGCAAGGTACGCCAATACGAAGTCACTTGGGTGAGATAACATTTATGAGCAAAATTATTTTGATTTTTTTTTCCCAGGGATTTTTGCTCTCAGACAATAGAAAAATATTTAACAGTACTTTATACAGCACAGAATGGAAAAGGGAAATAAATTTAAATTCTAAAGTGTCATATTAATCAAGGATTAATTATGTAGTATATTTTGGATATCTGCTAAAGTAATGTTGGACACTAACTTTTTTATAATGAAAGCATGGAAAAATATTCCTCTTGTGACTGTTACTCAACTATTATTCAAACTGATGTTCTGAATGTTATTAGTAATTTTAAAGTCTGCTTTTATTATACTTATGCATAGTAGTTTCTATTTTATTATAGTGCTGTCTTTAGTGAACATCAAATTCATTTACACGGGGGAACACTCATGGGGAATTTATGTGGTTTTTCTGGGATCACACTGGTAATTGAGGAATAAATCCCTGAAGTCTAAAGCTAGATCATCCAATTTGTATTTAAGAATTTTCAGAATAGAGGAAAAGGCTACTTGAGAGCTAACTACAAAGTAAGAAACATGAACTTCTAAATAAACAACAGCATATTAGAATTTGGTATGTGGATTGTCAGAGGAACAAGAGAACATTTGTAATGAGGAGCAAATGGTCACCACAGGGGACAGAGCTGAGAGAAGAACTGACTCTCAGCTAGAAATTTCCACTGACATTTATTTTTATCTTCCCTTATGTTGTCATTGGCATTACAGTGAATGAGTATCAGATACCATAGTAAAGCTTTGTAACTTTCTGGTTTTTGATGAACCTGGTAGGTCATCTATCTACCCTCTGCAAGCTCTCACTCATTAAAAGTGGAAATTAGCATTTTAAAAATATCTTGTACATTATGTTAGTTTGTTGCTTCTGAAACCCATTTCTGCATTAACTGAAAATAACTTTTTTTATATGTCTTCTCTTTCAGGGTATTGACCAATTTGGACCGCCTATGATCATCCACTTCCGGGTGCAGTATTATGTGGAAAATGGTAGATTGATCAGGTATGAGATAGGGAGAGATTATTTACCCATGAACTCCTCCTAACATTGTTTGCCACCATTCTCCAGAAGAGGGGGGCTTTTTAAAAAAATCCTTTTCCATACTCATTTATCCTCAGTTACTAGAACAGAGGCAGAGTAGGTATTCACCAAATAGTTGTTAAATGAATGAACAATATATTTGACTGTCAAAGAAAATGTTAATAGTATCACTGGCTCATACTTTCTGTACTACACATTTTCAAGAACATCTCATCACCAGAAGAAATAATGCATTCAAGAAGGAGCTAGCATTTTTGTGAAGAGTGGAGAATTCCATTCAATGATTATATTCTTTTCTGATGGTGAGGTGGGGCATAAACAGGAGCAAGAACTCTCCTATAAAAATGTGCAGTGTTTATGGCCTGGTTTTCTTTTCACCCTTGGGGTCATCTTCCGTACTTGACAGTATCTTTCAAGCAAAAGTATGACCAGTGGGGCTATCCTGGGAGAATGTTATTTCCAGCTTTGCAAGATCAGATAATTGATTCTTTTTCTGGAAGTTAAGTGCATAAATACCGGGTTCACGACTCAGAAGTCACCATTTCAGAAAGTTGGTATGGGAGGATTCAGTGCTGGAAAACTTCCAGAGGTAATTTGGTTGCCAATAAACAATACTAGAAAAGTGAACTCTGTCTTACCTATTTTTAAATTTTGAGAAACACTATGAAAAAGAGGCAAAAATAATATTTGGCTAGTGAAATCTTCTTGATTTTTATTTATATCATTGCCATATACAAATTAAAAAGTAAAAAATAAATTAGCCCATAAAGAATATTTTTTAAGGCTGAGAAGTGTTGTTATATAAAAGTTTTTACTCAATTTACCTGCTATGTATGGAATGTGCTAAAAAGGAGGAAAATATATTCTTTAGCCTGTAATTAATTCCCTGGGGCTAATGAGTGTTTAATTCTTCCCAGTATTTTTACCCTTTTCCCCTAGATGTGAACTGGTCCAAATACGGTGTGGCCAGCATTATAAAAAGAAGTGCTCTGGAAAGTTCTCTGCCCCACAGGGAAAAATTACATAAATGCTGTATTTTTAAGCTCTGCATACTTAAACATGATCTTGCTTAAAATAAGCCCATGTGTTATTATATCATCAGTTAATGGGCTATGAGTCTTGGGTAAACATTCAACCTAAAATAATTGAGAAGCAAATAAGCTTGTTAAACACACACACACACACACACACACACTTTTTTCTTGTATTTTTACTTTGATTAGAAAGGCATCTTTTTTTGCCTGTGACATATTTTGGAATTTCAAACATGTTTTCCCCGTATAAGCACTTCTTACTCATAGTTTTCAGTAGGAGCTCAATGGATTATAGTAGTAATATTATTACTATGTCAGTGTGTGAGGAGCATCGTGATTGTCATAACATGCCTATAAAAACACATCCATAAAGTAACAGCTACTTAACTCTTTAAAATACTTGAGGAAAACTTTCAATTCTTTCATTCTTAGAGAACACTGTAGTTAAAGCATATTTTTCTCTAGAAAGGCATAGTAAACAAGAAACATTTTTAAAAGCTCTTAGAGGATTTCTAATCAAAACAGAAGCAAGCAGTAAACATTGAAGCCAGGGTTGTCCCCTTAAATCTGTTTTTTCATGTCACATGTACAGCATTACTATAGCAAAATTATTTTACATAGACAACAAATATCAAGGCTTCTAACTAAAACTTTACCTATGAAAGATTTGCCATGTTTCTCCCCCATTCTCTCAATGGAACATGGGGATTCTGACGTGGAGTTGTGTCTGGCTATGATGTCAGGGAAGCAGCAGTCAGTATTAGCTACAGCTGCCTCCTTTGCAATGAGTGGTGGGGGAGGAAGAAGAGGGAACAAAAACAGAAGCACCCTTGTCACCAGATGGAGAGCAGGATTTGGGTTCTGTTTACATGCCATTGGATTGTTCCATCAAAATGTGAGTTCTGTTATCTTTTATTTTCCTAGTGACAGAGCAGCAAGATACTATTATTACTGGCACCTGAGAAAACAAGTTCTTCATTCTCAGTGTGTACTCCGAGAGGAGGCCTACTTCCTGCTGGCAGCCTTTGCCCTGCAGGCTGATCTTGGGAACTTCAAAAGGAATAAACACTATGGAAAATACTTTGAGCCAGAAGCTTACTTCCCATCTTGGGTAGGCACTGTTTTCAAATTCTATAGTGTTTTCTCTAGCACATTTTTGTTCATTGCACTGCTACTGATGTTGCTTCAAGAAACAGAAACCCAGATGTTTTGTAGCCAATAAAGCTTCATGATGCCTAAATAAAAAATTTTAATGCTTGAGGGCAGGATATATGGTCTCTTCTCTTCAGTTGGCTTATAGTTCCTAGGAAGAAGACTCCATCCTAAATATGGGGGAACTTGGAATTTGCTAGTCTTCTCTTGACATTTCCCTGGCTTTGACCTTATTTACTCTTAATCTGAACAGCATTTTTGTCAGGGAAATAAAAAGAGAATAACACAGTTCTTTAAAAGGTGAGATCATTCACAGCTTTCCCTGTGCTGAGAAAACAAGCATAAGTAAACTACTTGTGCTGACTGCCATCTTTTCCCTCCCAGAGAGGGACCACCCACTTACTGCAGTTGGAAAGTTGGGTTATTCCAACATGAACTGGCTCAGCTATCTTTATCTCTGCTTCCCTTCCATATCTGTTCTCGTCCTTCCTCCATGTCTCTTCTATCTCTTTAGTCTCTACTCACATTAACTCCTCTCTAGGCAGAATATAAACATGTTCACACCACACCATCATCAGGAAAGGAGAGGAAAGAACAGCTTACTCTTGCCTTCTCTTTTCAGTTTAAGCTTCTTGGAAATGTATATTTGATTTTTCTGCTTCTCTACTTCCCACATGTATTCTCATCAACCCTCTTCTTCAATCTGCCTTTTTTGCTGGTATTCTCCCTGAGGTCATCAGTAACCTTTAAATTGCCAAATTTAAAGGACACTTTTTGTCTTTTCCAGAATTCCTGAGTTGTATTTAACACTTGACCACTTAAATCCTAGGAAACCTCATCCAAATGAGTGATTTTTAACAACTGCCTACATGCTGGTGATTCCCAAATACATTTCTCTACCTGTACCAGTGAGATGACTGTTTGCCCAGTATACCTCAAAGGTCCTCCATCAAATCCCACTTGCTTCAACCTCAGTTCTGTGCCTTCCTCACTTCGTATTCCTGATGTTCTGGGCATTGCCCGGAACCATGAGAGGCATACAGAACTCACCCACTGCACCCTCTGTCTCCCTACCCTTACAGTCACTCAGAGTAACTTCCAACATGAACTTAATTACCCATCACCCAGCTTGAGAAATAAATTGCTCTTGTATTTCTGTTAACTTCCCAAATATTTATTGTGTCTTCTTCCTATCATTGTTCCTCATATCCCAGCTTCCAGCTCTCATCAGTACTTAACAGCACTACCGTGGTGTCTTGTCTCTTCCTCAGTCTTTAGTCACAGCTTGTACAGGAATTGATTTTGTTTCTGATTTAATTCTACAGAGACTCCCCAGCTACCTGCAGCATGAAGCCCATCCTCTGAAGCATGGCCTTTAAACTTTCTGGAATGTGGGCCTGCTAGCCTTTCTGACTTATTTTCTGGACCTTGATTTTTATGTTGTGACCACATCCAGTAATTCCTTTGTCTTCACGCCTGCTGTGGTGCTTCATGCTTCTGGTCTTTGTTCTCACAGTTCTTTAGCCAGTGAAGCCCCTCTATTTAATCTGGATAATTCCTGTTTCTCTGCCAAGATTCAACTCAGGTGTGGTTCCCTCTGGACAAACTCTGTAGTGTCCCTCCACTGGGTTCACTAAGGTCCTAATCATAAGTGTTTTACTTCTTAATTTCAAGTGATCCATTTCTTTCCTGTTTATTTCTTAGTATGTTCTAAAAGATGGGTAAACACTTAACCTCCCCTATATTTTCTTCTTTCTATATTGAGCTGGTTATGGTAAGCTTTTGTTCACTGAATTAAAGTGCTTCAGTTGTTGAAAGAACCCACAAAAGCAGTCCAAACATCCCATATCAGTGTTGGATCAAAGTCATCAGGTTTTCACTGAATCTTCTTTGAAATCAGAACTTCCAATCAATGTGCCATGGCATCCAGAGTGCCAGCTACCAATTTCCTGAATTCTGAGACTGCTGAGGCCTTTCTACTTCAGCATTTTTACAGATGTTATTTTCTGGTGTGTATGTGTGTGTGTGTGTGTGTGTGTGCGCGCGCGTGCATGCGGACATATGTAACCTATAAAGGTTTACAAGTGTTGAATTAGATGATTATTCATGTAAAAGAATCCAGAAAGAAAAATCTGTTACTGAGTTCTCAGTAAAACATGGTAATTGAACAGAAAGAAATAAAATGTGAGTATCTATAAAAACAATTTGAAACTGAAAATTCTCTTAATTCGTTTATTCTGATCATTGCAGTGCTTTTACTCTCTTTTCATGCTTTTTGTATTTTATAACCCTTATAAAATCAACTAACCCTTTTAGCTAATCAGCAACTTTCTTTTAGCCTATGGATAGTATGTATTTTTGACTTCTAGAAGTTGAGGCTACTGTGACATAAAACCTGAAACAGTGAATTGCTATAATTTTTTCAAGGAAATTATTTTTTCATAAATATTCCAGTAGAGTATTCATAACAGTGTCTTGCAAAACCAGATTTCAGAGAATTCCTTCAGTCTCCTGCCTTCTCTACATTAACATTCAGAACCTCCCTCTTGTAGGTATGCTTTTAGAAGAGATAAGTTCTTTCTAGAACTTGAATGCTGACAGTAGGTATATTTCATGGTACCAGTGATTTTACAAGTATAGACAATTATATGTTAAAAATTAAAACTTTACAAGTATGCATTTTTTTCCCTGGGTGGTTCTAAAACCAAAAATAACACAGTTTTCCTACTTCTTACGATTTTTCTTCAGTTTTACTGCTAAATTGATGTACCTTTCGAATTCACTGATTCAAAAAACAGGTGGTGAAAACTGAATAAAAGTGGGCAATTTCTACTAGAAATTAGCTGACTTATGTTGCCTTTTGTAGTTTCTCCTCCTTTTTAGCATTTTGGGGAGGAAGGTGGCTCTGATTTCCTTCCAGCGAATGTTTCATTGCATACCCATTGTATCCCACAGGTTGTTTCTAAGAGAGGGAAGGACTACATCCTGAAGCACATTCCCAATATGCACAAAGATCAATTTGCGCTGACTGCTTCTGAGGCTCATCTTAAGTATATCAAAGAGGCTGTTCGACTGGACGATGTGGCCGTTCATTACTACAGATTGTATAAGGTACAAAACTGCCGTAACATCTGTAGCTTCTGAGACTGAAAACACTGCCTCCGTTAGGATAAACTTGTCATTTCATTTCCTAACAGGCTTTTATTGTGAGAGTTTCATTTGAACGGCTCTTTGTCATCATAGGTCAGTCTGGAAGTCAGCAAGGCTTTCCTTTCACCCAGAAGCAGGATACAGTATTTTCAGTGACACTAGTACTGAGAGAACAAACCACTTTAAATTACGAGTCTGGCTTTTCAGTGATCATAAACTAATCTTTTTTTTTCTTCCTAAATTTGATTTTCTGTTTTAGGAAGTAACATTTACAACTTGTTTAAGCAATAATTTTTAATATTCCTCAAAACTATGTATGCATTATATCCACTAATAAGAACATTGCTACAAAAGCTAGTGTTTATCGAATACTGTGTTTTTTGGACACTGTATTGTTATCCTTTTCTTTTTTAATCTTGCAATTCTGTGAGATAGAAACTGTAACCTTCATGTACCAAACAGAAAACACACTGGGGACCACAGTATTATGCAGAGCCAGGATTCAACCCAGGTCTTCTAACAGAGCCTTTGTGTTTCAAATGCTGAACTCCACATTTCCTTCACTCTCTGAAGTTTGCTACTTTTTTTTTTGTATCTTGTGTGCCTCTAGCCTCATTTTCCCATCCTGGTCAAGGATCACACACCCAAATAACAACAGGGGCCAGACTCTGCAGGAAATTAGTCATACTACTATTTATCATCTTCTTGCCCTTTCCTTTTCACCCTTCCCTCCCTATTTTCACAAGTGTCACTAACTTGGCAAGGATTTCTGAAGTGTTCAAGGTTATATTCTCAAACTAAACAGGATGAATTGGTTAAAAGTGTGCTCTGTTGGGCCTCACTGTGTGGGATTGATTCCCAGTTTTATCCCTTTATCCCTTTGTGACCTTATGTACCTTAGCCTATCTATACTTAAGTTTCCCCATTCTTAACATGGGGATCATAATAAACCTAACTATAAGGATTGTTGAACACTAAAGGGTTTAATGTATGAAGAGTATTTAAAACAGTGTCCAGCACATATTAAGCAAGAGGTTAAATTTGCTGCTATTACCATTATGGTTATTATTGTTCTTTTGGTATCTATGCTGCATTCTTGTAAGATTAGCAAAACTAGACCACTGAAGACTGTGCTGGAGTTTTGATGTATTGCTGGGTAATCTTCCTGACTAGTTAGAAAACTTAATAGGAGACCAGAGGATGGTCTTCTGTGTCAGAGGTGCAGTGTCACTGCTGTCATTATTGAAAGGCATGATTGAGTTCTGAGATCTCATAGGCTAGATTCCTTAAGGAATGAGGTTTTGTTTTTTTTTTTTTTTCTCCTTAAAAGATTTCCTGTGACACTTCACATGTACTCAAAGTATGAATGATACACTGTAAAGATTGTGACCTTAGGACTAGGTATCAGTTAGAAAGTCTCCGTTTCCATTCACTGTTGCTAGGCCCTACACAACTATTAACTGTAACCCTATGCCATCTATGAATGAATATGCCTGTTAAATGAATATGATTACATATACTTTTTAAGGTTGGGAAGATTCATTAAGATAATGAATCTGGAAGTGCCTGGCATATTAATAAGTACTCAGTAATTATTGGTTGCTTTTTATTTACTAAGGAAATCTGTTTAAAAACAAAAACCATTAATAATCCTTCAGTGAAATAAACAGCTTCAATTTATTCCATTAAAATCTTTCTACCTTGCTTAAAGTGTTATATAGAGAAGGCAATCTTGCCTGCTTAAGACAAGGTAACACTAATGTAACTGAATAGAAATGAAATAAGATACTGTTCTTTATGGACACAGTTTTTATTATTTAGAAAAATCAAGTGGCAGCAATTAACACTGTTTCCTTTAAAACCTGCCTGAAAAAAATGGAAATAGGTAGACCAGGGAAAAAAAATGTCTGCCCCTTTCCTAACAGTATACACCACATGAATATTGAACCAACATTTTTACAAGCACAGTTTTATTTCAGGAAACAATCTCTTGAGAGGGAAATTGGCCTACAGGCACCATGTTATGTTGGTTTCTCCTGTTAAAACCTACGTGCATGTGCTTCCTTGAATAAAAATACATTAGTTGGGGAAAAAACAGCCCAAATAGTGAAAAAAGGCTATGACTGTCTTCTCTTTACTTTGCCAGACAGGTTGCACTTTCTAAAAATATTTCTACCTATGCTCATGGGAAAACTTGCACTAAACGTGACAAAGATTTGCACATATTCGCTTATTATTTTTATGAGAAATCTCATAGTGAAAATATTTTAGTTACTTCATTTATTTACCGTTTGTTTTGAACTTCATAGCTTATACCCATTTATTGGAAGATAAGCGCTCAAAAAATGAGGGCAAACCTCAGAGTATATTGTAGAATTTCTTCCTCTTTCTTAAGTTGTTGTAGTTTATTTTTACATCTATGGTTTAAATGGGCAGAGTGCATGTTATTTTGGCAAATGATTATTGAACTCTTTAAAAATAAAGATTTTCTGGGACTATGGTGATGGCACATGGGTGATCTGGTGATGGGAAGTTCACGGAGATTACAGCTGAGATGGAAAAAGGCACAAAATGATATAAAAGTAAACTGCTAAAATAATTTTAAAAAATAAGGATTTTCCTTTCAAACAAACTGAATATAAAGCTTTTATAGCTTTATTATCCTCATAAGAGAGACTTAAATATTTAGAGTTGCCTCTAGTTTTAGATTGGAGTTGGGATTATTTACCCAGTTTTAAACATACAAAGTTAGTGCATCTCAGAATATAACCATGGCATTATATTCTAGAATCTTAACATCTGAAAAATACAGAAAGTTTTAAAATATCCAGCAAACACAGTCTCATTTACTGCAGTTTTCAATATTGTAAATATTTAGAGTACTGTATATGAAAATGTACAGAACGAAACCATTAATATTTTGAAATTTCAGGCTTTTAAAAAAGGTAGAATATACCATAACTGATTTAATATGTGCTCATGATTATCTTAAATTGTGTAGAAAACTAGAAATACCAGAAGATAAGTAAAGTTAAATCAGAAGCTTTACAAATCTGAAATTTCTTTGTCTCTTCTTTGCTGCTGAGTTGTTCACTAGAGGAGAAATAACATACTTTTTCATACAATTTTATTCCTGCAGGATAAAAGGGAAATTGAAGCTTCCCTGACCCTTGGATTGACAATGCGGGGAATACAGATTTTTCAGGTCAGTAATGAGAACTAAGTATCAAATGGTATCGACTGTCTTTCTTAATAGTGTACCTGTGTGGTTCACAATACATTCATGGTTCATTTCCGGCCACTGATGGGCCATTGTTTCCTTTTGTCTAGCACAGTGGCAGATGATTTGGGGCAGATGAAATGATGCAGTTTGATCTTTGGCAGTAATAAGTCCTCTAGAAGAGAGAACAGCAAACCTAAGATTTGCCTTCATCACTAACAGATTGTTAATATCTAAACATTTTTCTCTGTGTGTCATTCATTTTAAATAGTCTCCTTTATCCTTCGGCACATTTTTATGACCACGGAAAGAAAAAATGACATTTTAATGTCAGTGCCTGACCAGACACTTTAATTTCCGTTATGCTTTTCTGATAAACTTTGTCTCTTGAATAAGTAGTAACTGTCATCCTTTTGCTTATGTGATAGTGTTATCTATAGCCATCACTAGGGGAGAGAGACTGCTCCTTTCTGTGAGACCTAGACTATATGCTGCCTTATCTTTGATGTAGGCAAAATATCCAATTATGAAAGTCTGAATGTCTTATCTCTAGATGCCTGAATCATTTGGACTTTTTGTTTCAATTTAGAGATGGACCAGAGTGGGAAAGACTGCCTTGAAAGGGCCAGTTAATGGAGTCACTCAGGGGCCACTAATCTTTTAATTACAGTCTGCATATCTCCAAAGAGAGCTAAGGACTTCCTTCAGATTTTAATTACTGTATTTTAGTTTTCTGGGAGAGAAGTTTAAGCTATTTTAGAATGCCTATCAGTTTTCTCCATAACTCTTAAGTGCATATAATTCTTCCCACAGAATTTAGATGAAGAGAAACAATTACTCTATGATTTCCCCTGGACAAATGTTGGGAAGCTGGTGTTTGTGGTAAGTTTAGTAAAATGACTAAAAATTTTTTGATTGTGTACTTTTTCTTTTTTTTTTTATTTTGTTTTTTAAAACATTGTCCCAAGCACAAAATTTGATATTGTTTAAAATTTGAAGAAGGTAATCAGAAGGTAGTTTTCTTGTATTCTTCTTATAGATGCTCTGACCCTTTTAGCCCACCAATAGTGAATCAAAAATCAGACTCTTATAATAAGAGTAATTAATAATTTGTGTGTGGACCACACTCCCCTAAGTTATTATAATTATAGAAGAAATGAAGTAGAAAAAGTATAAGATGACTTCAACACATACATACATTTTTAAAAACCTGTAACAGAGGGATTGGAAAACAGGATGAATTATTCGTTATTTGATTGGGGGAATCATCCATTTCCTTTGGAAGTTCTTTTGAGCATAGAATAAAAATTATATAAAAAGTGGTTCTATTCATATCTGACCACTTGAAATTCATCATTATAAAAATACTTGTATTTTCAGACTATTGGGAATGGTACACTTTTGTTGGTACAAATTCATGATTCTCCTTAGCTTTTTCTCTGCGTTGCCAGTTTATTCATATTTGATAGGGCCCAAAGAATTATATTTAATCATGAACATACCTAGTGGTCATTAAAATCAGTTTTCCTTTGTTCAGAGATTATTGGAAAAAAAAATATACAGGTGAGGAGGATAAGTGTTGGACTCAGGCTGTTCTCTCCCATAAAGATAATAATGATCAATGTAAATAGAAGGTTATTTTGCCAAATTGCATTTGGCACTGACTCCACCCAGTGCAATGCCCTGTGAGTCTGAAGACCTGTTTGTGATCTTCCTTTAATGACTCGAACACAGTAAAATTTCATTTTACTTTGTACCCACAGGAAGGGGGACCTGACCTGTCTCTACAACATTGGTTTTCAATCATTCAAGCTCTTTGTGAAAGGATCTGAGTGTTGAAAATGAACTAATGAATTAATTTGTCCCAGATTAAATAGTGATAAGATACATTTATAATTCCAACAAAAGAAAGTGCACTATTACTATTCTAGCATGGAATCTGCGGGTGGTGCCTTTAAAATGAAAATTTAGTACTTGAAAAATTCTTATCCCTGTTAAGCAAACCCATGTTACTTTGTGCTGTTATTAAGTGTATCATTGGAATGCGCTTCCCTCTTTACTTCTCCCCCCTGAGAATCATTATGTCTGGAATATTCCTTTTTGAAATTCTACTATCCTATTAATTACAGCAATTCATAATATTCCATAACTCTAAGGGACTTTGACAAACTCATCCTCAACTCACACCATTATGTTAATGATCCCAAACTTTAAAAAAAAAAAAAATTCCTATATCTCTGCCGATAGAAACAGATTACTTTTATCCTTTCTCCTTTGCATCCCTCCATGTGTCTCTACATCTTCCAGCACCCTCTTATCCAGCTATAGAAGTTTCCATTTTTCTAAACCCTAAATTGGTATGCTATATTGTTCATTATTATTAACTCCTTATTTAGTTCCTTTCCAGAATCTATCTCCATGAGGGTAGGGATCTTGTCTGTCCTGTTCACTGTCATTTTCTCAGTGCATAGCACAATTGTGGATGTAGAGTAAATCTTCTAACAAATACTTGAATGCCTATGCTTCTGAAAACTATCATCTTGCTGGGCTTGAAATATTTAAATGCCGTGTACTTCTAGAATTTGTCACTTCATTTGCTGAGTTAGGGTGTTGGGATTGCTCTTGAAGACACTTGAGTGAAGCCCTTCTCTTCTCCATTGTATAAGATGGCCTCACCAGCCAGAGAAACCAAAGCTGCTTCCCAACTATTTTATACAGTCATTGTTTCCCAAAAGACCCTGACTGAATGCTTATGTGATTTTTTTAGATAGTCCTCTCTTCTGTGAAGAAAATAATTACCCCTTGGGGAGATATTTTATTTTTTATTATTGAGGTAATATTGGTTTAAAACAATGTATGTGACTCAGAGGTACAGGTTCACACCTCTTCAGATGCAAGCCACCTCACCACACCCACCACCAAGGCACCGACTGTCTTCCACCATAGTGCATTAGGCCCCCTCCTGCCTTGGGGATCTTAAAATGTAGCTTCACACCTATTTCTGAAACTTTAGTTCTTACCAAATAGAAAATAAAGAGAACTTTACAAGTCAGAGCTTATTCTTCCCAAATCTGATTCATACTTTCTCTTCATAGGGTAAGAAATTTGAGATTTTGCCAGACGGCTTGCCCTCAGCTAGGAAACTCATATACTACACTGGGTGTCCCCTGCGCTCTAGACACCTCCTGCAACTCTTGAGCAACAGCCACCGCCTCTACATGAACCTGCAACCTGTCTTGCGCCACATCCGGAAGCTGGAGGAAAATGAAGGTATTGCAGCATTGGGGCAGGGGAAGTGAATGGTGACTTTGCCCCTTACTCTGCAGTTGCTGTGAACTTTGGGTCCAAAGAATGGACTTTGGGGACTAAGCACTCAAAGTTCAAAGCTGCATTACTATTTATACCTCAGCACAACCATCCTGCAAGGCAAGGAGTAGCTGTCATAGCACTTACTCAAATACCTGAGGTTATCCCTGAAGCTAGAGTTTCAGTATAGTCTCTTTAAAGTTTCCCTACAATGGTTTGAAAACCTCTGCCAAAAGCTACCACTTGAAGGTACAGGCCAAGGGTTATTTGCATCTCTGAGCTCTTGGTGCTGTTATCCGTAGCCATCTACAATTCCTGATTAAGCCTTAGATTCAGTGGCAGTAAAAGTGGGTCATGGGAATGTCTGTAGCCTTTCTGATTAACTGCTGGGAGGCTCCCAAGGCTGGCTCAGCAAGAATGACAAAGGACAAGGAAGTTTTCATTTGAGGGTTTTTGTCAGCCAGTAATGGTGGCAATGTCTGAAGGCAGACAGAATAGAATAGGCTGTGTGGGGCCTCAGAGTGCTGGGCTCCAAAAAGGAGGACAAGTCATTTGTGGAGGAAGGCAGAGATAAAGTCTCTAATGAAACAGACTTTATAATATTAACCCAATGGTTAGTCCTTTATCTCAGCTGCTACACCCTGGGGTTTGTTACTCCATTTAGCACACCCTTACCATCTAAACCCCCAGAATGCCACTATGCATTGTTGTTTATTTTTTAATATCTTGTTTTTCAAATTCATCTTGTAATTCAGTTAGATTAATCCTTAGGTATTTGCATGAACAGTATAATGCAGATTCCTATTCTCACTTCCCCACCTGAAACAGTTTGACCTCTCAGACTGTACCTTCCCTACAAAAAAAAAAAAAACAAATACCTGTTCCCTCTTAACCAGCAAAAACCCTTATAGGGGTTTTGATTGATTTCTTTCATATGGTTTTGATTGATTTCTTTCATATGCTGTCTGTCTGAATGAATCCCAGTTAGAAGGTGCCATTGTGACTTAAGTAGTGATTAGAACATGAATCACTTCCCACCAATTGCATCTGTCTTCAGAGAGAGAACTGGCTTCCCCTGGTGCACTGCCTTCCCCTGTTGCCAGCCTCCCCGTTCTTCCCACTGTGATTCTTCAGGGTGACAAATATCTATCTTTGATGCTGATGTGGACAGAAGCACAAAGAAACTTGAAAATAGATAACTGACTTAGGGACAGAGCCCACCATTTGCCAAGTCAGACTGGCACCTTGAAAAGTTTGTTTATTCCCCAAGCTCTCTGCCAGCAGCTTTTTTAGTAAACTCTTGTTTAGATGACCTGAAGGGGAGCCTGTAAACCCTCAAAGAATGGACCTTCCCTAGAGGAGCTAAAGTAAAATTACAAAGAGTTTTTAGCTCTTAAGAGGGCAGGGTTTTGTCCAGTACCAAGCTTGGTACATTGTGGGCTTATGTGAGTAGGGTAGAAGTCATAAAGGTGTAAATTGAGTTGTTTTTTTTTTAAGGATTTATTTATGCACAGAAGAACTGGCGTGTAGGCCAGAGGTGTTGGGGGTGAGAGGATTTGCCGGAGACAGAGTGAGGAGACAGATCTATTGAAATATACTGCTAAGGAAAGTGGTATGTTTTCAGAGACAGAAGTCTGCTGCACCATATATGAGTTAGCTCCTTTGCTGGGGCTTGAACTCTGATTGTGGGGAAGGTTCTACAAGGGTGTTCGAATTCTAAGACATTTGGGAATTGAGGATATAGTAATTTAAGGTAGTAAGTGTAGAAGTAACTATAATTGGCTCTGATACTTTTGGAAATTGGGATTAAAAGGCTATTTGTAAAGAGATATAGAAAGCGTTTAAATTACTATATCCACAGTACCCAAATCTCTTAGAATTTGAACACCCTTCAAGAACCTTCGTTAATTTTTCTCCTCACTGCCTACCCTTCCAAGGGCCACAGAATTTACAGACTCCTTCAGCTTTTTTATCTTTATTTCTACCCCTGTTGCCTTAGAAATCAGAACTCAGCAGAACCCAATCTAGTTCTAAAAGGTGACTGTACAAGGACACACTTGTAGCAGCAGTTTGGGGGGAGGGAGCAGCGGGGGCTCCAGTAGCTGGTTCCAGTTCATTTTCTTTTTTAGCGGCATACACTTGCCTTTGGTTTTCAGCCCTGTTTTGTGAGTGGCATGGATGGGCCAAAGCTTAATAATGTCCATGTTGCCTTTTGAAGCACTTTGTTGCATTTTGCATACTGGAAAGCTATCTTCTTTTCTCTGCTTATTCACTCTCTGGGGAGATGGTGATTATATTTCCAAACCCAAGTCTGACATCAGGAGCACAAGTATTTTCACTTATCCAAGAAACAAGACAATTAAGTCTATTAACCGGCCCCTGAGAACCCAATTAGTTTACTAGTTAGAAGTTTCTGAAATAATAACCTAATGTTCCCAAATGCTGTTTTCCATTTATGACATTGTGATGAGTTTTTTTTCCCCTTACCAGTAGTAAAAATACAAGGTTACTAAGCTATTTGTTACAAACATCTGATCTGAAATACAAAAAGAACTGTTTTGTGTCAGTTATATACCTACAGTTTAGTTGTAACATTGTATCTCAATGTTATAGTTAGATAAAAGGGACTTAAAATATGGTTTTGCATATGTTAAATCATGACAGTTCTATGAATCAAAAGTCATATGTATATAAATCCTCAAACTAATAGTGATATAACTATTTTCTAAATAGTAAGAAAGCTTCATTAATTCAGCCTAAATGGAGAAAAGCAATCTTCATTATTGAATGGCTAAATTTGAGACTTCTTTGAAAGAAATACTCGAATAGCTTTATTTAAAACTGTTTTATTCTAACAAAACTAATTTAGCAATTAACAAATGAGTAACAAATAGCATATTTATCAAGTAATCTTTTATAGCAGTGCTTCTTAATATGTGGAGGACTAGATTCTATAATTTTCTAATCCACTGAGGACTGATACATTTGGAAACTACAAAATCATCCCTGACTACTATGCAATGCCAGTTACTCTTAAAATGTCTTAATGTTTATTTTCAGCTACTGACCTTATTTCAGTGTGGATCAATGATATTTTTCAGACAAGAAGAGGTTGCTGTCTACACTCTGAATAGTACTCTTGTATAGCATTTTGAAGTTCAAAACTTTGAGTAGCTTCAGTATTCAGGGCAAGTCTTCAGTGCTCTCCTACCCAATTATCACCACGTCCACTCACCATACTCTTGACTGTGAAATTGTACTTGTTTTAGGCTTGATGACTCATATAGGCTAACCAGTTACTTGTTCTGTCTTGGTTGAATATAATGATTAGCTGTATTTTTTCACCACACAGAGAAGAAGCAGTACCGGGAATCTTACATCAGTGACAACCTGGACCTCGACATGGACCAACTGGAAAAGCGTTCTCGGGCCAGCGGGAGCAGTGCAGGAAGCGTCAAACACAAGCGTCTGTCTCGTCATTCCACGGCCAGCCACAGCAGTTCTCACACCTCAGGCATTGAGGCTGATACCAAGCCCCGAGATCCTGGCCCAGAGGATAGCTACTCTGGCAGTGCCATCCACCGCAAATTGAAAACCTGCAGCTCAATGACCAGCCATGGCAGCTCCCACACCTCAGGGGTGGAGAGTGGTGGCAAGGACCGACTGGAAGAAGACTCTCAGGATGATGGTAACCTATTCCCAGTTGTCTGAGCTAACAGGGCTCACACGCTGTCTCTTCTTTTCACTCCATAAATTCACTCTTCTTTTCACAACATAAATTCTGTAGAGTTAATGTCTGTAGAGCATAATTCTGTAGAGTTAATGTCTGAGTAGTAGTAGCGATAGAGAAAAGAGGTGACTTCCCAGCTCCCCAGTGGAGTGGTGGAGTTGCTGTGTTTGTGAACAGAGCCCCCCACTCCCCATGATCCTTTGTGCCACAGGTTGGGTGGTTGTAGATTCCTAGTAGTTATGTGAAGTAAAGTAAAGTTCTGCAAATATAGACCTTGTGTCTGCATTTCTGATTCTCAGGTTAAATAGGCATTAACAGAATAGATGTAGTGGTAGTTAAACAAAGATGTCTTGAAATTTGGAAAAAAAAAAAAAGAATTGAGCGAAGGCTTTTTGGTTAATAAGTATTTATTAAATACTTCCCATGTAACCAAAACTCTAGGGAGTAAGGTGAAATCTGTAGCCTAGATAAAGCCAAACTTACTAGTATACATGCACATCTTTTTTTAAATAAATTTCTGTCTCAAATTAGTGCTGTAGCACTAAGGTTTAAGAAAAAGATATTCCATTAAGGCAAATTGAGCATTTGTTTAGTCACTATACAATTCATGTGGAATCTCATATTGAGTCATTAAATGTCTTAAGAGTGGACAGCTCTGTGGAGTGGGGAGCTTCTCCAGCTGCTCCCTCTGTGTCAGCAGTCTGCGTGGCATTAGGCAAGTAGCCCGTTAGTCTCTGATTGTCCTTTGTCATTCAGCATGGTAGTACAGCTATTCTCTTTCTCAAAAAGTAAAGAATAATTAACAAATCATGGCATTGCAAGACAGAGAGCACAGCAGTCCTGTGTGAGAGGACAGGTAGCATCCAGTGGATAACTTTCCCTAGAGTTGTCAGTGCTAAAGTCTCATTAACACATTTGTTTAGTTATTTTTAAAGATTTATTTATTTATGCATACAGAATTGGGGTACAGGCCAGAGATGCAGGGGCAGTGAAAGGATTCACTAGAGACAGAGTGGGGGGCAGAACAGGTAGATCTATTGAAGCACACTGCTGAGGGGAGCAGTGGGCGGATCAGGAGAGGTCTGCCGCACCATGTGGGTCACTTCCAGGGCAGGGATCGAATTTATGCTGGAAGTGGCTTTAGCTTCTTAGTGCTGTGCTTTAACCTGCTGCGCCACCAGGGTGGGCTCCAACAAATTTATTTTAAATCTGAATAATTACACAGTCTCCTTCAAAAGTGAGGTGGTGAATTATGGTAGCCACTTCCCTTCATTTCACTTAATGGCTTTTCCTCCTCCTGTGTCAGAAATAGAAATGTTGGTTGATGACCCCAGGGACCTGGAGCAGATGAATGAAGAGTCTCTGGAAGTCAGTCCAGACATGTGCATCTACATCACGGAGGACATGCTCATGTCGAGGAAGCTGAACGGACACTCAGGTGAGCTCTTTGGAAAGTTCACCTTACGATGTAGATTGGCTTAGTGGCTCAGAAAATTGGAGGGTTGGGATGGGAACTTTGGATCAGAGATAGGACTGCTGGAGTAAGAGCTTTTTAAGTCGCTTTCAAAAAGTGCCTTCTATAGAAGGGAAGGGGAGGGGAGGGGAGGGGAGGAGAATAGGAAAGGAAAGACCCATGACTGGGAATTAACATTTTCTCCCCCATACTCTGGATAGAGTTTATAATAGGAAGGGCTCTGGGAGACTGTTTAAAAACTGGTGGCCTCCTTTTTATAGATGATAAAACTGTAGGACAGAGAGGGCAAATGTTCCTCTGGCTAGAAACAGTTTTCTAGGCTTATTTTGTTTTGTTTTATTTTCCCCCCACTTTACCTAGTTTGTAGGAAAAAGTGTCAGATATGGTTTACATAAAGAGACTCTTGAATCTCACATTTGATTCATTCTTCAAGAAAACAGGCAATCACTGTAACCTCATTACAAGGTTATATAATATATGATATAATATATATTTCTAGCAAATGAGAGGTGTTATCTTTTTTTTTTTTTTTTTTGCAGACAGCAGCAGTATGGCTTTTGCTTTTAAACCTTAGTCATTTTTAGCTGTTATGCGTCATGAATTAGTCTCTATTCTTCAGAGAAATATGCCTCAAATGTCAGAGTGACCCAGGTGCTTACTGTTCTGTTGCTTCAAGCTCTGGCTGAGTGAAGTGAGTGAGGTGACCTGCCACTGCTCTCTCAAGACCCAGTATCTTGACAGTGACCCATTCCCACACCAGGTGCAGGAATCAGAGCTGAGAAAGGCACATACTCACAGTGCCCATCATGATGGCACACACTCTGAGAGCTTGCAGCTCCTTTACTGCAGGATTACTTTGCTAACCTAGCAGAACCTCTCCTAGGAGCTGACCTGCCTGGGCTAGAGAATCAGCCTGCCTGTTCCTCAGACTTAATAGGCTGGTTGCCCTAGTCCTGCCTAGCCTTCCTGTTCCAAACATGGCCTTTTTTTGTCCATTGTTTTACTATATTGCATTTGTTACTTAGAAATACATCTCAATCTATATTAAGTACAAACTCACTGTTATATGCACATTATAGGTGCATGAATAGCAAGCTTTTGCTTATGTGGAGGTGGAAAGAAAATGGTTTGACACACTGTAGGCCAAAGTGCCTATGGGAAAGGGCATCACAAGAAAAGCAGAGTTTTACTTGCTATTTTTAGATTTCTGAATTTAATTTTAATAAGATTGACATGTAACTTTAAATGGAGACAAAATTTATATGGGATGACTATTTAGAAAGATCTGTATACAAAAGATATTTATTGAAATGTCATTTCTAATAGCAAGAAGAAAAAGAATCTAAATGCTTAATAATAGGTATGTATATTTTATCAGACAATGGAACGTTATATAGCCAAATATGAGATTGTCAAAGAACCTTTAATAATATAAGAAGGTGGATCTCCCTGGTGAAGCAGGAGTTTTGATCTCAGCACTATCAAGGCCACTGCAGCAAGAATTCAATCCCTGGCCAGGGAACTAACCCACATGGCTCAGCAGACCTCTCCTGTCTTACCTGCTGCTCCCCTTATCAGTGTATTTCAGTTCATCTGCCTGTCCTGTTCCTCACTCTACCTCAGGTGAATCCTCTCAACCCCTGTACCTCTGGCCTGGACTCCTATTCCTTGTATGCATAAATAAATAAAATAAATTTCAAAAATAATATAAGAAGGTGGGTAAGAAAAACAATGCAAATCCTATAGTCAGCATGATCTCAAGTTATAAAATAAAAATGATAGAATATACATGAAAAAACAAAATATTAGCATTCTTTTTTCTGGATGGTGAGGTTAACTTATACCATTCTAGTTTTCCAAATACCCTATAATTTGAGCACTTACACGTTGTTTTTAAAGCATAGAGTTTGAGTTAAGATGAAGTATACTTTCTCCATCCTCCATTCTTGTGGAAGTTTGGTAGGAGTTAGTTCAGTGTTTTAAGTATCAGGTTTGATGCTGATTTTTATAGTGGCAGATTGAGCTGGGGGGAGGCAGATAACATTCCTTAATGGTAGCCAAGAGCACATTTATCAGGAATTCCAAAGGGAAACATACCAAGTCCTAACTAGTATACTAGTGTGCATCTTCCTGTGAGGCTTTGTTCAAAAGTTTAATACTTTTTGGGTGGTAAGGAACTTTCTAAAGAAAGACCTCCCACCAAAGCAGTTTGTGCCATCCTCCAACACATAAATATCAACTGAGAGTTTAACTGACCCATGTAAAAACCAAGTTTGCATAGTTCATGTTTCAGTTGGAGCAATTATCAGACACTTATATATGCAGAGCATATGCCAGACACCAAATCATTGTGAGATATTTCTAAAGAGTAAAGGGATGAAACAAAAAATCATATAGGTAAAACTAGCAGTGACTGAGTGAAAATGGCATTAAAGAAGGTTCTTTTTTTATGAAAGGAAATGCACTTTACCTAAGAGGCCATCTGTCCTGAGGAGCTAGGACTCTATAATTAGCTACTTGCTTATCACTTCACTTTTGCAAAAAACAGAAAAAGTCAGTGGTCTTACGAGTTCTTGTTGGCAATTTTGTGTTCTGGTGCTTCACTTAAGTCTTGGTCACATGGGAAGTGTGGGCCCCAGATTTGTTTTGAAAATATTACCAGGTTGTCCCCAACACAAAGGTGAATAGGGACTCTGTTGATCTCAGAGATCTAGAAGTGGTCTCTTACAATGAGATTGGAGGCAGAGCACAGTGTCCATGCTGACCCAGAAGTGCTCCTGTGATCGTGGCGTGTCCCATACACAGGCTCTACACCTGGCCCTTTGCGTGTACTTGCTGTAATCATCTTAAATCTCTTGAATAGGTTTTCTCATTAACCCCTTTTGTAAGAGGAGACTAAAATACAGAGGGTAGGTAACTGCCAGGACACACAACTGATTACTTTCTGTGGTCATTTCCAACCTGGATCTGTGTGACCCCCACAGGCCAGAACCCCCGCGCTTACCCACTGCTCATTCAAATCAAGTAGAACCAAACCATTCAGTCAAAGTTAGTGTTATGTGGAAAGTGAGAAAACTTCAGGATCTGGGAGATTGCTTTACATGTACAGTCTTTGTTCTTACTACTAATTTGATCATAGATGGCTTCATTAGAAATTTAAGCAAATTCAAATTCTAAACTGCCCTATGCGCTGACCTCACATTTATCTTATTCCCCTAATTTACTGTAAGACAAGAGTTAATGTGCTCCTTCCTTCCTGTTTATCTACCATCAAAAAGTCACAGTGAGAATTTGCAGTAATGGACAATGTTTGACATTTTATCCTTGGTATATGTTAGGTATGTGGCAAGAGTTGTGAATACTTACATCTTCATTGCTTTTTCCTCTATGTCCTTTTAGGGTTGATTGTAAAGGAAATTGGTTCTTCCACCTCCAGCTCCTCAGAAACAGTTGTCAAACTCCGTGGCCAGAGCACTGATTCTCTTCCACAGGTATGAAAGGAATTAAAACATTTTTTAAGTCAGGAACTAATATTCTAAAAAAGGTTAAACAGGAACTTATATCTGTATTTACATAAATAAACGAAACTTAAAAGCCCTAAGGAAATAATTCTTACTAGATATATATATCCTATTCTGAATTCTGTGCATCTTAATCTGAATTTATATCCGTTGTTTTTGCTAGTACACCAATCTTCAGTTGGTTTTTATTGAATAAATTATTTTGTCTAAGTGGGAAGTATCTGGCCTTTGGACTTCAGGTTGAGAGAGAGAGTTGGTTGACCTCAACAACTGGGAGAATATATTTCCTTGCTGGTTCTGGGATTGAAATCTAGAGTATTTGATAATCTGTAGAGCTGTGAAATGTCAGAAGGCAGCCATCTGTTAAAATGCCCTGAAGCCCTGCTTCAGCACGTGTGTACCCTGTCCCCGACCGCTCACCTTTCCTCTCCTTCCGAGCCTCACTGGGCTTCCAATAAGTAATTTTTACAGTCGTGCATATATACCATGTTATGGATACAAGCTCCTGAGTCAAATGGCCAAGTTTGCACCCTGCTCTGCTGCTCACTGTTAGCTCTGACTATGCAGAAGTATTTGTTGGGACAGCAGAGGATCAGGTGCCACAACTGCAACATGGGGAGAGGAGTGTGTGTGCCTTCGAGGATTTGGGTGATGACTGATACTTGTGCGTGTGCAAGCCACGGGTGCCTGGGAAGGTGGCGCTGTATAAGGGACGGCATCCTTCACCTGTGATGCCGTGCCGGTCTCTCCTCCTAGTACTGTTGCTTCTAACAAAAGTGGTGTCTTACTCTTACAAGTTTTGCTTTCATGATAGACTCAGCAGCAAAAGCTAGAGATGTAATCCTCTTTTCTTTAAATAACTCACTAAGTGTCTTCTATTCGTGTAATTATCTAAAACATTTTTTAGCCTATTTATATCTTCAGCAGTGCCCCCTCTTGGGAGAAGCAGCTCCCAGCCCGCTGCCTGCTGTGTGGGGCATTTGGCTGGACACAGCCCCGCAGTGTTCAGGAGCCGCTCTCAGTCCTGGGGCTGCTTCCAACTTTATGTGCACCAAGAGCACTTCATACTATGTTTCTACCCAAGAACTCTGGCTTTTTAAAAAGTTGTTCTTCAACTGTGTTTCTTGAGTAATAATTTGGTTTATTTTTCCATTTATGAAAATAATAGACCACATGAGTGTCACCACACTAAAGCATCATTTCCTAGTGAAAATACAGAAAACAGTATCTTACCTGTGTAGCCTTATTTTAAGACATTTGCTTGATTTGTGAGATAGTTGAATTCCTGCTGCACTTACTTCTACATGCCTTGGGACAGTCATCTGTAAATAACAATGATAGCACCTACCTCACAGAGATGATAAGAAGATTAAATGAGTTAATAATACATGTAGTATATTTAGATCAGGACCTGGCTTCTAATAAGAACTGAGTAAATGTTTGCTGCTTGTTGTGCCAAGGAGGCAAAAAGCAGGTTTTCTATGATCCAGGCAGACAGATAATGAGGAATCCCGAAGTCCTCAGCAGCTTTTTCGGGTTTTTACTGATCTTTATACACCATTCATAGTGAGGCAACCAGATACAGGGCAGGCAGGGGGCCCGGGGAGCGCTGGGGGTTGGAGGGCTAGCTGGCCAGCAGACCTCCCAGCCCCAAGTGAATCTTTCCTCTCTCTGGGCTCTCTGGTGTTTTCTCATGGTCTCTTCACTGGTCTCTGCTGTACCCCACCAAATGGTCCTCTACCACCGCCTCTCCGCTGCTGCCGCCCTCAGTCTCCCGGGCCATGTGTGCCCACCTACACAGGCCCACACCATACCCCAGGTGCCTGCTTTCGGGTACACATGTCCATCATTGATGTTAATGGCAGGAGGGCAGAATAACCTGATCACCTACACTGCTGTTATCACTGGTGATGTTAATGTTAGTGATAACATAGTTCCCAGAAACCATAGCTACAAGCCTCTTTCGATCATATAAGCATTCCTGAACCTCTTCTGATTTTGCAGCCATGTTCTCTGAAGGGCAGAGTGTTAGTCTGTCCCTTTAGTCTTTTCTCTTAAAAGTTGTTTCAACCTTCCCTTACTTCGCAGACTATCTGTCGAAAACCAAAGACCTCCACCGATCGACATAGCTTAAGCCTGGATGACATCAGACTTTACCAGAAAGACTTCCTGCGCATTGCAGGTCTGTGTCAAGACACTGCTCAGAGTTACACGTTTGGATGTGGCCATGAACTGGATGAGGAAGGCCTCTACTGCAACAGCTGCTTGGCTCAGCAGTGTGTTAACATCCAAGACGCTTTTCCAGTCAAAAGAACCAGCAAATACTTTTCTCTGGATCTGACTCATGATGAAATTCCAGAGTTTGTTGTATAAAGCATGTCTGCGGGCAGGCTGCTGTCTGCTGGAGGCTGTGAAAGCCATGGGTTTCTCTTCCTGCTTGTGCCATATTTCCTTCAACCCAAATATAGCTCTTTCTTCTTAATACTTGTGTTGGAAATAAAAGCCTTGGGACAGTTGCACTTTAAGTATTACACAGAGATAAAAGAACTACAGAGAATGTACAGCCAGACAAGTGCCCAGAAGTTCATTGATCCTATGGAAGGAAAGCGCTTTACTCTTTACCAAGCCTTCAGAATATTGAACTGTTGTGTGTTCCTTCATTTTTTTTTTTTTAAGTTCAGTTACACATACCATCACATTTTATATCATGTGGAAAATGTTCTTAGGAAGTTCATTTGCTTGTGAATTTTTTGTTACCACTTCTTCATGAAATGCTCGTGGCTTGAAGAAGGAGAAAGAATTGAATTTCTTCTTTGCCTACTACATATAGCCATTGCTGCCTCACTGGGGCCATCCCAAATCAAACAAACAAACACTAAAGAAGTTCTTAGAATCATGGGGTTCTTGTAAGCCAAAGACATGTACATAACAGGAATGCTGCCGGGGTCACGAAGATGTGGATTCAGCAATAACCAGTAGGCCGCATGCTGCGATGCCGCAGCTCCCTTGCGGCCACTCAGCGCCATCCTCCTCCTGCTCATGCCCAACACCCCAGCACTCAGCTGAGCTTTCATCCCGGTCATGGATCCATTGTGCTCACCTCATAAAGAATTTTGTGGAACTTATAAAATAGGTTTCTATTAAAACTGAAAATGTGTGTGCGCAGAGGTGGTGGTTTTTGTTTTTTGTTTTTTTTCTTTGAAATCAAGAACAAACTATGGTAGTACTAGTTTCTGCTTGCCTGAAGTATTCCAGCTATACATATTTGTAATACATATATAAATCCACAAGGCTGTACGTACTTGTATGTGTCTACAGCTTACTAAGTCTTCGTTTGGCCCTGTGATTTGTATATGCTGTCTGTCTTATTTAATGTGGAGGATGCATCATGGGAACAATACCTGCAGACAATCAGTTTTCTATGTAGAGTTAAGAATGACTGTTTCTCATTTGTCTTTTGCCATAGTTCTCAATCCTGGCTGCATTTGGGAGAATTTGGGGACTTTCAAAAATATGACAATATCTGGTCCCAGCCCAGGCCAATTCAATCAGTTTCGGGTGGTGAGACCCAGGTGGAGTTGCTTTCCCTTGAAAATTTCTCCAGATGGGGCTAATATGCAACAGGATTGGAAACAACTGATCCAGAGGGCAGTCTTTTTATTCATTTTGAAGTTAAAATATATACAAAAATTGTTAGTATTCAAGAACGGGCCATTTTAAGATGGTTGCTGCCATTGCTGTAAAAAAAAAATAGAAACAAGTCAAGAGAAGTGAACTTATTAATCCTTAGAGGTAGAGTTATGGTATTGCTCGCAATTCAGGAGAGAATTTTAGCACAATGTCTTTCTATGAGATGTTTATAATGATTTCCTATTTTACAACATTTGTTTACCATATTTTGATATACCATTTTTTCTATGTACCAGGTTTTATTAAAAAACTATTATTTTCTAAAGATGCAGTCATATTTTTATACAAAATTAAGTTTTCAGGTAACAAAGAAATAGATTTAGGGTGCAGCAGAGCATGCAGTGTTACCCGTGGATGGGAGTCAGTATTATAAACATGGGAGCATGAACAAGCTCCCGCTGTGTGTCCCCACGCGGATGTGACAGGGCAGTGTTTACACCACAGGCCTGGTCTAATTAGTTTAACCTGACACTTTAAAAGGAAAAAATTCTATAGAGTTCTGTAGTCATGAAATCATTTTGCTTTATCATGTTTTAAGAGAACCAAAGTTTCAGATATCAGAATGTATAACAGTGTCTTGATATCTGTATAAAAGGATGAAAGAATCACTTAGTGACTTTTACTTATAGGTCATTAACTAACTCATCATTTCTTACAGATGCCTAAGTGACAAATGCTCATAAAATTTGGCTTTAAAGAGCTTAGATCCTGACGTGCGTTTCCTTAGCTCTTGGTGTTTCTTGCAAACATCAAAAAATAATAATTCATTAGGTGGGTAGATCTTTATACTTTTTCTCTTTACTCCAACCAGAATCAGGTCTTCAGGGCTTTGCCAGTGTTGGTGGCTTTGCACACCTTTCTAATTGGACTTAAGAAGAGTCTTGTGGGTTTTCAAAAATGAAATATGATGCTACGAGACGTTTTAGCTTTTTGATCCACTGTTTGCAGCAGGATTATACATATGTATATGAAAATCCATTTTGAATATCTTTTTGTATTTGGAAGTTGTTTTAAAAAATAAAGAAGGAAAAGAAAAGTGTAAAGCTGTTATTTATTCTGCATTTGTTAATATCCATTGCTAGTCAGTATACCAATTTGGTGTATATTGCCTCTACACAGCTACATTTGTATTTGCAACAATGAGCTTTATATCTACATTAACTGTAAATAATCCTTTCTGTGAAAGGATCATCATAACAGGATGATACCAAATTGTGTAAAAAAATGCATTATTTTGTAATTATTTCTTATAGGTATTTCATGGTAAGATTAGCAGTCAATAAAGTTACTTTTTATTTGTCTTCAAAGTGTCTTCTTTATTATTAAGAAAGATGCATTAAAGAATGCCCATAAGGACTAGGCTGGAAGAGAAGCATGTTTAGGTCTTCTAACAAACTTTTTAACTTTTATAGAATTGGGTCGTTTGGAAGTATACTGTCTAAAACAAAAGCTTTCTAGATGGGTTTTGCTCGTGAACTTTGCAGAGTACTTGATAAATTTAAATGAGTTAGAGTCAGGAAAGAAAATGTTTGGTCGCCTACTAAGTTTCTGGCATTATGCTATCATGTCTGGTCCTTTCAGCCCTTTACGGACTTAACCACCCTCTTCTTACAGCTGAGGAAACCGCTTAACTCACTGAGCATCCTACAGCTAGTAAATGATAGAGCAGAGATTCAAACTCGGATTTATCTTCAAAAGCATTGTTGGTTGTTTTTTTGTTTCCTGCTACATATACCTGGTTACCCACTGCCTTTAGAAAAAGCTCAGAATCTAATGGGGGAAGACAGACACAGTATTTTTGGTAGTGTGATGAGTGGAGTTTGTTTGTTCACACACTTTTTTGGAGCACCTACCATGTGCCAGACACACACAAGGCTTATTCAGTGATTGCTTTGGCACAGAAACAGTGAAGAATTTGGGGTGGGAGTGTTACAGGGCACCCCAATGTGAATTGGGTTGCCTGTCTGTGGGTCTTCACCCACGCACTTATGATTCAGTCGTATTATGGACACACTCAAAAAGCTTCAATAATGGATTTATTTACAAGGAGAAAGGTAAAGGAATAATCCAGGGAAAAAGGGAGAGAAAGACAAGTTAAGCTAGAATGGCCGACCAGTTCTGCTGACTTGGACTCCACCAGCATGCTGAAAACTGATCGAGAGCCAAAATGACCAGCCACGAACCACCAGGCCAAGAGACTCCCAGAGCCCACATGTCCGGTTTTATCCCAGCCTGGCTGCTCAGCTCCGCCCTCACGTCCCAGCATGCTTCCCCTTGGTACTGATGGGATTAGTAGTCCTAGTATCTGGATTGGGGGTGGAGTCCATGAAACCTGTACCTGTTACAGGAGGTGAGATATGGAGGTTTTACTCTGAGGAAGATCCATGAATTGGAATGTGTACTGGATGCAGTGAGGTACAAGCAACCCAGGCAAAGACATAGACTATGTCAGAGACAACATTGCTCACTTGAGTTGCTCACTTGAGTACCAATCGGTGGCTTGGTCTTGAGTGATGACTCCAGGCTAGTCTTGAAAAGCCTTGGGGACCTGGACTGAGAGTGTTTTTATGTTCAACTAGGAGCCACTGAAGGGGGCTATAAAAGGAAAGATAGGTGCTTGGGTTTGAAAGAAATCACGGAAGAGGGTTAGGAGGTAGGAAGGAGACAGCAAGACAAGAAAAATGATGACCTGAACTCTCAATGTGGCATCAGGGTGAAAAATGGGCAAGATTGAAAGCTATGGAAGGCAGAATAACAGGACTGTCAAAAGTGTGCTTGCACAGTCAGCAGCTTCTAAACCAGATACTGGAGAAAAAAGCAAGTTTTCCATCCTTGGCAATATCCTTAGGAAAACTGAAGAGTTAACTAGGGCTTTACATTATGAATTAAAATCTACTTTGCATTAATTCTTTGAAAGTGTCACAGTGACAACATCTCTACAGTAGTAATTCTCATCCCTGGCCACATAAGAGAATTATCTAAAGGATCATTTAACATATTTAACAGCAATGCCTAGGGCCCAAACTTTGGTCTGGGGTGGGTCTAATTCTACTAAAGGCCCTGCACGTGGTGCTAATGTGCTTCAGGTTTGCACCCATTGGTCTAGGGAAGCTCAAACAATACACACCAGCCAGGTCATCTGTTCCTAACGTGACTCACACTTGGGATGGATTGGGTCTCCACGTGGCCAGGTGTACTGCAGTTGATGAAAATGACATTTCTTTTTGGTCAGTAAAGGGGTCAGAGAGACCAGTGTCCAAGAAGGCACTGAACGCACCACTTCAGAAAGTCTGGATACACCCATATCTCGAGACTTAGTTGTTATATACTTATGACTTTCTGGCTAAGTATGAGGGTGGAGGTTTGTGAATACAATAAAATAAAAAGAAAAAACTCCCAGTCTCAATTGCTTGTCCTGTCATTTCTTTGATTTTTTATAGAAGTTGATCCTTACATAAAAGTATAATGAAAATTGTCAGCTATATTCCACCTAATCCTTTTGATTCCTAGACATGTATTTTGAGCTAATGGGTGATCCTGACCTCTGGAATATCCTGCTTAATGCTCTGAACCACTGTAAGTAATGGAGTTATATGCTCTCAAGAGATTTGTTGAAGGTCTGTAATTAACTAACTCATTATTTAGGGTGGGTATTTACCCATCTGGTGTCAACTGTAGTCTGTTAAGGTCTCCTCAGTTTATTACTGTCATTATGGCAAGAGATGGATTTCATAACTCCAGACAGTTCCCAACTTAGGAAAGAATGATGCTCCAAGTTTGCTTCTAAATTAGTTGATACTTATAAGACTTCCTCTCCTCTAACTAACCCAGCTTCTCTAACACACAAAGACTTATTTATCCTAGCAGTATTATTAGATATTATTTGGTAGATAAATGAACTCTTACTAGATAGAGTTGCTATTACCCCTTCAAAAGACCAGTAGTTCAGACTTCAGTTTTACTTCTCAGAGTATGTCCCTGACCAACTTACTGTAAAAGCAGGAAAAGAGCTTTCAGCAAGCCATGCCAGAATAAAACATCTCTAAGCCAGTTTCTACCTTGAGGTTCTATGAGGCATGCCTCTATAGAGGGGTATCCTCTGATTCATGTCGCAGGCCACCTTCCTGCATATTGAGTAGGGTGAGACCGAAACAGGTCCTAGTGGTCTCCCTCAATTGGGGAGACAAAAGAACTAGAGTTCATGGGGTAGAATATCAGAGAGCTGGGTAGAGTGGAAAGGAGGGGTGGGGCCCGTAAGCCAGATATTGAGGGACATTGTGTGAAGATCTACAGAAGGCTGTCCTTCGGTCTTCAGCTGGGTGCTGAATAAAATAAAAGCCTATGTTATGAATTTTATAACATTTTAAAAGAATCTATAGTTCTGTGAGATGTGGAGGACTTGATACATAGAATCACTGGGCCTATAAAAAGAAGAAAGTTAACTCTGAGAACAAATTTGAAAAGCAATCATAGTGTACTGCATGGCTCAACAACTGCAGCATTTGCACAATCAAAATGGAAACACTATTCCAGTATAGCTGTAACCCAAAATATAGCTAGCTACTAGGAGGGGATGGCAACTTGAGTGGGGTGGTGACAGAGCGAATGTGTAAAAAATGATATGTTTTTCTCTTACAGAAGTTGATAGATAATGTACCAGTAAACACAGATAAGAATATGACTACGAAATAGGAAGGGGTTGAAAGTACTTTGATTGAAAGTGTTGGTGTCTACAGAAAGGAAAGACGGAAACTGATTTTTTGACCATTTGTAGTGCATTTGATTCTTAAATGTTGTATCTGTGTTAAGAAACCAATTTTTATTAAGAGAAATCTTGTCTCTATCGCTAACATAGAACCCTGGGTTGCCGGAGACCACAAAGAGAAAAGGACCAGCAGATGGAAGCAAGTATGTGCGGGACAGAGAAGGGGTGGCCAAGCTCTGTTTGAGGAGGGAACTGTTATGTTTGCCAGAATGAATATAGAGCTGGGCACTGTCCAGAAGGTGGAATGGAAAAGGGAGGTTTATGCCTTAGGACCTGGGCTCTCGCTGAGAGTGTGGGAGGTGGGTTAATAATGAGATGAACCTCTGGGCGCTGCTGGGAACTGTTGTAGCAAAAGCACCAGAAGGCAAGGTGGCTTTCTTTGCCTTCATGTACACTGGGAAGTGTGCTGGTGTTGCCCCCATGAAAGTGATCTGGCTCTGGTTTCCTTGGGGAGACAGAGAACAGATGGGTGCCTGGTAACCCAAAGCCTTTAATAAAAGGGCCCAAGTCAATTACTCCACCTGGCCTGGGGCTTGGGTGACTCAGGTTTCAGCCATGGGCCTCAGGGGCTCCTGACAAAAAGTGGGGCAGGAGAGGGGGCCTGAGGCCTGATAATAGATGGAGGGGGATGCAGACACAGAGGCTGCTAAGATAGGGCTGGGGGATGGCTAACTAGGAAGTGCTGACCCTTCTTTCCTCTGGTTGAAGGTTTCACAAACCTGAAGTATTCCAGGATGCTTTTATTTAGAGGTGGATTCATTTCCGGGCCCAACACCACACCCAGTGATGAGAACCTCGAGTAGGTAAGGCCGAGGGTTCAGGTGCAGCAGCTTATACTCCTGGAAGTCCACACACCAGTTCCAGGCCTCTGTCCCCATAACCTCAAGGCAGTCCTCCCTATATTCCAGCTGTTTTTCTTTTTTATTAGCAGCACAAGAACTTTCTGAAATCCAGGGATAAAATTCTGTGTTTTTATTTGGGGTTTGACAACCTCAGTTGTTGAGTCCCCGCTTTTGTAGAAGCCACCACTTCTTGGATGGGTAGGACATATGCCCCCCTCTAAGTCGTTTCTGGTTTTATTCACATCATTCATCTCCAGGGAGAACCTCGAGAAGGGATGGAGGTTTCATGACAAGAATTTCTCCTCCTTGACAGCCTCAAGGAGCTTGCGCTGGGGTTGTCAAGCACTGGCCAGGTCCCTGCACTTCGCCTCAGCACCAGGAGATGGTGCCTGGATTGGGGCTGATTGAGTTGCAGGAGCCCAGAGCTCTGCTTCTGGAATCCACCTTCCTCTCACCCAGAACACAGTGCTGGTGATGAAGGAAACACTACAGATTGAAGGGAAACCTTTCCTTCCCCCAAATGGACTGAGGTGGTGGCAGGATATTTTTTCCCTGAGCAACTTGACCCTGTATTCATTCCCTGGGAACTCCACAGATGATGTTCACATGGATGTTTGTAGTCATGAAGCTTCCTCATCACGCCCAGCCTAATCCTAAATTT